AAGACATAAAGCATTACCACAGTAAATAGACATGAGAGACTATCACGTGCCAACTCATACACTATAAAACCTAAGAGTTGCCAGTCTGTTACAAAAAGAAACAAATTACAAAGTATTATTCAGTTAGACAAGCTATTACTTCACAACGTACAGTAATGAATTTTCAGTACAATACAGAAGTGATTAATGGTAAGATTTTTTTTCAAATGATGACTTTTTAAAAAATATACACAGTAACAAAATTATACAGTTTTCAGCACTGAAAGTTATAGAAAAGTTTTCACAAATACTGAAGATGTAAAAGGAACCAAAAAAGGTGTGCAACCTGCTTCCGGATGCTTTGACAATACTATTGCACTGCTAGCTGTAAAGTACAGTAGTGCAATAAAGTCAGAGCAGTCGTTAGCAGTAGTGAGCAGGAAAGGAATGTAAGGTTCAGTGTGCAAAGACCTTAAAGTTGAGTTGCCATTTTGGTCAGAAGACATCCAAAACCTAAAAACATTTATACCAAAGTTTTTGGAAGGGCAAAGGATCAAAGTGATAATTGGTTTTTGATGACTAACCTGTAAGTAGCAGCGTTCAGACATAAACATGCACAGATGTAAAGGAATTTTGTAATATGTCCTGAGCCTTTAGTAACTAACATGGGCATCAGTAATACTTTACGATTGATATTAACAAAATCAGCTGTAATTACTACTGAGGCAAATATGTGAAAAACTATGTTCTCTGCTGAAATGTAATGTTGGTTAACTCCTTTTCCAAAGCAACTGGGTTACCTACCATAGAAAACAACTCCTTTGAGTAATTAATTCAAAGAATCAATGAAAAGGATTCAATGGTTAAAGAGCATTTGCCCTTGCAGAGATCCTGGGTTCGATTCCTAGCACCCACTTTGCAGCTCAAAACCATCCAAGAATTCCACAGGATCCAGTGCCCTTTTCTGACTTCCTTGGGCACCAGGCACAAATGTGGTGCACAGACAAACATATAGGCAAAACATTCATATTCATAAAATAAATCTCAAAAAAAAAAAAAAGAAATGAATCTCTCAAACCTATATATTCAATTTATCTCTATAGAATCTACACGTATGCACACGCACATAAAGCACTGAAATCTTCACAAACACACACACACACACACACACACATAAAGCACTGAAATCTTAATGCTTTGGGGCTGGAGAGATGGCTCAGAGGTTAAGAGCACTGACTGCTCTTCCACAGGTCTTGAGTTCAATTCCCAGCAATCACATGGTGGCTCACAACCATCTGTAGAGATCCTGGGTTCGATTCCTAGCACCCACTTGGCAGCTCAAAACCATCCAAGAATTCCACAGGATCCAGTGCCCTTTTCTGACTTCCTTGGGCACCAGGCACAAATCTGATGCCCTCTTCTGGTGTGTCTGAAGACAGACAGTAAGTATACTCACATATATAAAATAAATAAATCTTAAAAAGAAAATCTTGGTTTTTTTTTTTAATCTAAGAGTTTATTGAGGGTTATTACAATATGGGAAGAGATTATCAGGGAACCAGTATATTCTAAACAGAATGTTAGCCCAACCTAACCTAATACTAGTAGACAAGAGGATTTTTAATATTTCACTCTTAAAATATCCTACATAGTGAAGAAAAGCATATGCATTCTCTTCAAACTTAGAACTATCAAGAAAACAATAAGAGGGATAAAATGTTTCTTTAAAAATCAGAGGTAGCCGGGCAGTGGTGGCGCACGCCTTTAATCCCAGCACTTGGGAGGCAGAGGCAGGCGGATTTCTGAGTTCGAGGCCAGCCTGGTGTACAGAGTGAGTTCCAGGACAGCCAGGGCTATACAGAGAAACCCTGTCTCGAAAAACCAAAAACAAAAAAACAAAAAAAAAAAGTCAGAAGTAAACCAAGAAACAGAATCCAAGTATCCTATAACACTGCCTTTGTGAACAGTCCCAAGTGGGATCACAAAAGCAGGGCAGGAGACAAATACCACTCAGTAAATGAAGGGAAAATGTTAGCGAACAAAGGTTACCCTACAATGAGCTTATTCCACCATTAGTAATGCTGACTGATGAAAAAATGCATTCCCATTATTTTCATTGACCTTCCTTTAAATGGTCCAATTCAGCTACTCAGGCAGATCAAACCTACTAAAAAAATGGTACACTTATCCTCAAATCCTGGGCTCCAAAACCCAAATTTGGGAATATTTGATTCTGCTAACCAACCATTGGGTTTTAAAGACAAATGTTTAAAAGGCAAATTTAATTTTCTGAATTAGATGTTAACACAGGAAAAATACCAAATAATTTATTAAGACTAGACTTTTACAGAGTAAGGACAACTACTGCCTTTACAAAGTTAAATAGTATGCACTCCTATTATATATGCAAGGGTTTCTTGGCAAATCTCTTTTAAGTATTGTAAAGACCTAGAAATAAAAGAAGATTGTCCAAGAAATCATTCATCTTTGGCTCACAAAGTAACTTTTTTGACAGATACTTTTTTAAAAAAAGAAACACAGCAAATGTGAAAATAAAATGTCTTTTGTTGTCTAGTCAATAAAACACAGTTAACATTGAAAATCATGATTAAAAATAATTTGTTTTCAAGCCTTTGGTTATGAAAAAAAGTTCAGTAATCTGAAAAATGTAAATCCTACCATGAATGTACTTCAGGAAATGTCACAACGGGAAAAGCTGCTTTCCTCTCTTCCCCTGCAAAAAGAAAATTTAAAGCTACCCCATAATTTATAAGTATCTAAACAGGTTAAAGTTCAACAACTTCATCACTTCCTAAAACTTACTTTTTGCAGGATGTTTAACTTGTGTTTTCTTTAAGATAATTTGCTTGATACGGTTTTTTAAAAGCCTGAGTACTGATTGTAATGGAAGGTCTAGATAAAGCTCAGAAATTGATCAACCAATTACAGAAAACAATCTATTAAAAAACAGAATTAGCCTCTAACAAGTAAAAACATCTCTACTTATTCCAGTGGAAGTAATTCACAATATGGGAGAGGAACAAGGGAATTTACAAGCCAGTTGATTGACAAACTCTAACCACAATATTTAACATTTTGTGCTTATTTTTAATATGGTAATAACACACACACACACACGAAAAATCCTCAAGTCAAATATTCATTTTCCAAGATTTGGAAAGCTGCAGAAAATTTTTCTCCCTTTCTCCCTCCTACACCCCCATCCCTAGACTCCCTCCAGAAAGAAAGTTTTTAAATACAACGTTAAACACAACGGGAAATCTTTCAAATGAAATGTGTTTGAAACACCTGAATTCATTAATGAACGAGAAAAGAAACTAAGGCCTCACACCTTCTGGGGTGGGAATGGAAGAGGCGGGTGGTACTCGCTATCTTCCAGGATCACCCCAAAGTCTTTTCCAAGGCACAAGTTACAAACCTCAAGAACTTCCTTGGAGAAAGTAGTAGCTCAGACACAACGGACAACTAAGCAGAGGGAAGGACAGGTTTCAGATGAAGAAGTGTTTTACTTTTTAATATTAATCTTGACATTTTTTAAAGGGGCGGGGGGTTGATTCGATGATCAATCTGGAAGAAAAGTGATCATGCAAAAGAAACCTGAAGATAGAACAAGAAAAACTAAGAAAAAAGGCGCGGTGATCTAGTGGGCAGAGCAAGGATGGGAGGGCGGGAATAAAGAGACCACTGATGGAGAACGACAAGGCCCCTCGGCTGGGCGCCCAGTGCATGCCGGCCTGGGCCGCAGCCGCCGAGGTCCTTCGTCCCGGGCTCTCCTGGCACAGAGGAAAGAAAGTGGGCACCTGGAAAGCAGAGGCCAGGCCTGGCGCATCGCCGCTAGCGCTCCTGGAAGGAGCTCCAGGCTCGGTCCCCGCGGCGGCTCCTCTCCCACGCCACCTCCAAGCCTGCGGGGCCAAGGCCAAGTTTCTCGAGCAAGTCTAGCGTCCTCTTTCAGGCTGTCCTAGCTCGCCTGCGAGTAGGTGCACAGTGCACTTGAATTTCTCCGCGCCCCTAGACTTCTGCCCTACCTCATCCTCCATCCCCCTTTTAGGAGAAACGTAAACGACCTCTCTCCTCCGTGGAGCTTTTAAAGACCGTTCCAGTCGCACTTGGGGAAAGAAGGTAGAACTACATGAGGCAGTATCTGTGCCGGGCTCGGCTCCTGGAGCCCGTGGAGGTGAAAGACAGAACTAGGGAATTACAAAGGCCCCACACCCTCAACATCTCCCGCCATTTCCCTCGCCAGTTCCCCGGATGTAACCCCTTTCCCCCCCCTCCCCGCGGCGGTTAAGAGACCAAAGCAGCTGGTGGTTCCAATCGCTGCAAAAGGAAGGACCTCAATTCGGGTTCCAGCCTCCACAACCGAGTTTCAGGAGACTCCAAATTGCGCCTCACCTTCTAGGCCATCGGTGGAGAACATTAATTACCCAGTAGGTTTCCTTCACTCTCCACTCACCATCAGTTCCAGCTTATCGACCTCCGCCTCCATATTGAATAGTTGACATTCCTGAGACCGCAGAGGGGCTTAAGCTGCAAGCCGTGCTAGCACTGAGGGCCTCTATTGGACAGCTGTCACTCAACGTCTCGCGCTCATTGGCTCGTCCGTTCCGTTGGCGCCCGCCCATTGGCGCCTGGGTAACGCCCCTCCTTATGAAACGCACTTTCCTATTGGGCAAAGACACAAAACGCTGCAGGATGATTGGCTGTTGAATATGTGATTTTTTTCCATTGGCTGCCTTATGTTCCCTACTTTCAAGTTCATACTTGGAAAAGAGTTTGCGATTGGTGCACTCGGAAGCAGCAGCAGTCAATGACATAAAAGCTCCCACTGCCGCCCTAGGCGACGTGACACACCTTCTTTTCCTCTCCGGCTTCCCCGCCCCTTCTCTCCCGCCTTCCCTTATTCATACAAGAAGCGCCTCAATTCCGATTGGCCAGGAGGTGATGCTCTCTCGGCCAATCGTAGTCCAAGCTGTGCTTTGATCCTTTGAAGACAACGAACCCTGTAGAGACCACGTCTACGATTGGTCGCTCTTAGGCAAAGATTTAATTTTGAAATTTTCTCTATAGTGTGGAAGAGACTCAGGCCCGAACTTCGTCTAATCCCCAGGCTCTTAGACTAGTAAGTGCAAGGACTATTTTTTTCTTTGTTACCTGGAGTCCCGTCTTCCGTTACTCGGACTGTTGATGGTTGTGTTCTTATGCCTGAAGGAGGTGGGATCTTGAGCTGGACGGAGAGGGGAGGGGGGGAGATGGAGCAGAAAAGGGAAGGTTTGGGCAGGACAAGAGCTCCACTGGCAACATCTGAGCGACATTTTTATTTAACACTGCAATATATGTTTTGAAGAGATTGCCTTTTGCTCAGTCTTTTCCGTAACTTTTTGCTTCTCTAAGGGGGCCCGCCCGACTATTGGTATTGGCTTCTCTGATCGCTAGTGACAAATGCAAACTATAGGGATCTACTCAAATTTCCTATCAGAATATTTATTTAACCAGATGCTCACCACCGCCATTCTTCAACACATTTAAGTTTGTGGAGGAGTATTTTATGAGGTAGTTTTACAACGTTCCATGATGCAAAGTTACTTCTGACATCTACTTTTAAAGTACACCCTTTGTTGTTTGTTTGGTTGGTTGGTTTTGTTTTGTTTTGTTTTGTTTTGTTTTGTTTTGTTTTGTTTTGTTTCGAGACAAGGTTTCTCTGTATAGCCCTGGCTGTCCTGGAACTCACTCTGTAGACCAGACTAGCCTCAAACTCAGAAATCCACCGCCTCTGCCTCCCAAGTGCTGGGATTAAAGGCGTGCGCCACCACTGCCTGGCAAAAAGTACACCCTTTTTACTGAATGTCTCTAGTGTCCTGGGTAAGACTAAGGACCTGAAGTCACTCTGAGAAAGACACAGGAAAGAACCAGGTGGAGTAAGGGGGTTGAGGAGGAGAGCAATGTTTCACAACATAAAACAAAATTGCCTATAGGAAAATGGCAGTATCATGCTACAGTATTCAAGGTGAACCAACTGAATTGGTGATAAAAATCAAATTGACTAAAGTTGAATGTTAAGAGATGTGTTTTAGAACGTTGATGATGAAATAGCAACTGTCATTTCCGATGCTGCCACAGTTTTAGAAGTGCCCCTAAGCAAAGAACTTTCCATATAACTGAACGGACTTCTTAAAGAACCAGCAGTGTCAACTCATGGAGAAGACTAATTATTATTTTTCTGAGACAGGGGCTTGTGTATCAACAACTAGAAAAGCCCTTTTGAGGCTTCAGATCAAACTAACCCAGACTTTTTTTTTTTCAGATAAGGAAATATATTTAAATATAAAACAAATATTTTAAATACTATTAAGTGTTTCAAAATACCTGTCTTAAAACACGTCTTCCATTTTGGATAATTGTATAAAGCCTGTTAAAGTTGCTATAGCCCCATAGTCTACTAGAAAAAGTCATGGTCTCTGAAGACTTACAGGTCTGCATTTTTATACTTTATTGTATACTAGGCAGATAGCTAATCTAACTCTCAGCTTAGTTTTGTATAACACTAGGACTAAAATCTTCCTTGTCAGGGATTAAAACCTTTGAGGAGATTGAAGATTAGCAGAGAAAAAGTAGAATGTACCCCACTTAAGGGGACATTTAATAAATGGTCCCTCCCACTATGACATCTGCCTATCATAGGAGATGCTCATTATATGTTACTGAATCACAAACCTATCTTTTAATATAATATAATCCACTACAGCCATTTTCTCCAATATAAGGAAATCAAAGGGCTCAGTACTCTAGTCACTGGTAAATTGTTTTCTAATATGCAGAAAGCCTTGGCTTGGCTCTGCAGCCCTTCATAAACCCAATGTGATATTACCATCGTATAATGCAGACTATCAAGTAGAGGCAGTAGTCATTCTTAGCTATATAGGAAGTTTGAAGGCCACCCTGGCATGCATAGAATCTTATCTCAAAATTATTTGTAAAAAGGAAGGAGGGTCAGCTCAGTAATAGAACGCTTGCCTAGATGAATGCAAAACCCTGGTTTGGGTCTCTGGCTAGGGAAGAGGGGCTTGCAGGGAATAAAGAGAAATTTATTTGGCTTTATGAATAAAACCACAAAAGCAAGGTAATCGACTAATGTAAAGACAAAGGAACAAATTCTGCAGAGACTTTGTTTTTGTTTTTCGAGACAGGGTTTCTCTGTGTAGCCATGGCTGTCCTGGAACTCACTCTGTAGACCACTAGCCTCGAACTCAGAAATCCGACTGCCTCTGCCTCCCAAATTCTGGGATTAAAGGCGTGCACCACCACTTTGCGACCTGCAGAGACATTTTAAAACTGACTTTACATCTTCTTCCATTTGAAATGATTTCTAGACTACTGCTTACTTTCTCTCTGGGGTTTGGTTTGGTTTGGTTTGGTTTGGTTTGGTTTGGTTTGGTTTGGTTTGGTTTGGTTTGGTTTGGTTTGGTTTATGAGACAGGATCTCATGTACCCAAGTTGGCCTTGAACTCATTAGGTAGCTGAAGCTATCCTTAAGTCCTGATCTACCTGTCTCCACCTTCTAAGTAGTGAGTACAGATGTGTACTCCGTACCTTTTTAGATGTCTTAGATACAGGTTCACTTGTGTATCTTTTTTTGTTTTTGTTTTTGTTTTTGTTTTCACTTACAACTACAATTTAGGCCAGGTGGTGGTGGCGCACGCCTTTAATCCCAGCACTTGGGAGGCAGAGACAGGCGGATTTCTGAGTTCGAGACCAGCCTGGTCTACAGAGTGAGTTCCAGGACAGCCAGAACTACAGAACTACACAGAGAAACCCTGTCTCGGGAAAAAAAAAAAAGCCTATTATTTATTTATTTATTTATTTATTTATTTATTTATTTATT